GAAAACTGTTGTTAGGGTAGCTATGTGATAAGCCTGACTTGGTAACTGCAGATATTCTTGATTTAATTAGTCCAGATATTTTACAAGTTAAAAATGACATTTGTGTTAATCTGAAAGTGTTAATCTGATGAATGGGTGACTACTTCTCCACATAAACGGTCCCCCTGGAAGATATTAGTTAGCTCTCTCCTTGTGAATAAATTACTCAAAAATCCCTCTCATGTAGGATACCTTACATTGCTAGGTAAAGGTTGCCCTTGCACCTATGTGTTAGTCATTCCCGACTCTAGGGGGCAATGCTATCTCTGTTTCAAAGCCGAAGAGCCAGCGCTGTCCGAAGACGTCTCTGTGGTCATGTGGTCGGCATGACTAAACGCCAAAAGTGCATGGAACGCTGTTACCTTCCCACCAAAAGTGGTCCCTATTTTTCTACTTGCATTTTTTTACATGCTTTCAAACTGCTAGGTTGGCAGAAGTTGGGGCAAGTAACAGGAGCTCACCCCGTACGTGGCACTAGGGATTCGAACCGCTGAACTGCTGACCTTTCGATCGACAAGCTCAGCGTCTTAGCCACTGAGCCACCACATCCCACGTGACTTACACTGCTAGTCCTGTGTAAATTTTCCTTGTCTGATTTTATTTTTTTTTTAACGAAAGAGAAATCCATAATCTAATTTGCCCAATAGTAGTCTACTGTTTCCAGATGCAGCGTGCCTGGCGGGCGATACGTAGACTTATTCTTGATTACATGATTTCTTCAGTTTCTTTTTGCTTTCGTGAATATTGCTGTGAAAGGCACATAGTCAGTTTAAAAAAATTAAACACATTGATTAATCAAATCTTGGAGACTTCAGTTGAATATATCTTAATGGAAGTATTCCTTGGGTTTCCCTTGTTTTCGTTCGCAGGAACATAGAGCATATTATTGCTAGCCCTGCATGTGACCATACAAGACCTCAGCATACGTTTTCACTACTCCTTAGAATAAGGTTAACTGTGAGGTTTTTAATGCATTAATGAGACCTCTTGCGCTTTATTGGAAAGCATATTATGTCAAATGATTTGAAAATCTTGGTGGAAGTGACTATAATGTGATCCAGTTAAATCGAGCCAAATTAGTTTGAATAACTGCATTCACGAGAAGTATGGAAATATGGTATTGTCCTTTTTCAAGGGGATTACTATAGATAACATCAATCAGTGATCAATTTTAGGTACACTCACCAAACTGATTTTTAATAGCGTCAAGATGCATTGAGCACAGTCCCTCACTTAGAATACTGAAATCCAATCTTCATAGGGCTATCCTTGAAGACGTGAACAAGCATGCTTGCATTATTTATTGATGAATAAACTTATGATTATGATAAAGAGCTATGTTGGATATCAGCATGTTTCTGAGTACAAGCCAAGGGGTTGGTCACTACCTTTAATGGCTTGGGATCTGGCCGTGTTTTCATAAATCAAACCTGCCCATTTGATCCAGACCCTTAGGGAGCTTCTTCTCAGAGTACCCACTTGCCATGAGATGCAGGAGGAGGAGGACTCCCATCCGATCCCCGATGCAATGGAAGGCTGTGTCTCCAGCAGCTTATTATATGAGGCAAGAATGGCCCCGACTCTTAAGTCTTCCAAAAAGATGTAAAATGTTGGATCTTCAAGGGTTTTTTTGAGAATGAGTCTCAAGTCATCAGTGTATGTTTTTATTTCTATTATACTATTTTGCTATTATTGATTACTGTATTTTCTTATTGGTACTGTATACTGCTATAGTCCGGCAAAATTGATCTGGTATAACATTTCATTTAAAGCAGTGGTGGAATTCAATTTTTTTTACTACTGGGTCTGTGGGCGTGGCTTGGTGGGCATGGTGTGACTTGGTGGGTGTGGCTTGGTGGGCATGGCAAGGGAAGGACACTGCAAAATCTCCATGCTCACTCCACTCCAGGGGAAGGTTACTGCAAAATCCCCATTCCCTCCCCATTCCTGGGGGAAGGGTATTGCAAAAATCTCCATTCCCACCTCACTCTGGGGCCAGTCAGAGGTGGTATTTGCCAGTTCTCCGAACTACTCAAAATTTCCGCTACCGGTTCTCCAGAACCTGTCAGAACCTGCTGAATTTCACCCCTGATTTAAAGTCAAACAGTGTTGCATTTACTGCATATTAAATTGAGTATCTTGGTGAGAGCCGTGTGGTATTTTACCTGGTTATTAACATCTGCGTGTCTTCTTCCCAAACAAAAGATCCCCTTAATAGCATTTGTGGAAAACCCAGCTCTCAAATATATAAACAGGCAGCATCCTTGGCCTTTTCTTAATTAAAAATGACAGTTTTGTGTGAAGCTGGTCATGCACCTGAATATATTTGGTTAACAGCTATTTCCGTGATATTTTGCTCTTCTTCCGAGGACCCACTTCAGTGGCAAAAAGCTTTTTAAAAGGCTAGAAGTGTAATTGAAAATTCACAGTGGCTGTTTATGGTGCTTGCACATAAATATCAAAGTACTTCTCCCTGTTATTGATTTTAAGATGAATAGCACGAGAAGATTTATAGTATCTAAAAGTGAAAAGTAAAAGATGTTTTTTTACCATATCATTATTTTTAAAATAGTGAAGGGTATATACAGTATTTTTGCATCCCGAATATATAACTTTGCATCCTAAATACAGGTAGCCCTTGACTTATGACCATTTAGTCAGCCACCATTCTAAGTGCTGAATGAATGGTAGCTACAACTGGTCCTCAGAATTCCAGGCATCCCAGCACCCAAGTAGTCATATGATCGTGACCAGGGTCCTTGGCAACCCATTTGCATTCAGGACTGGTTGTCAAATTTCCTGCAATCATAGGATTGCCATCTGCAATCTTCCCTGCCAGCTTCTTCAGAAAGTTAATAGGATGAGTCTTCCCTACCAGCACATCTTCCTGCAACCCAGGGGTGAAATGCTCCCGGTTCGGACCGGATCACCCGATCCGGTAGCGATGGAAGCGGATGGTTCGGAGAACCCGTAGCAAAAATCCCTGCCTCCCCCCACATTGCCCAGTTGAGCCGTGCAATCATCAGAGGCTTTATTTTTATTTTTAAAAGCATTTTTTCTACAACCTCTTTGGCCGAAAAAATGCTTTTAAAAGTAAAAAAAAGCCTCTGATGATCGCGCGGCTCAGCTGGGATCATCAGAGACCTAAAAAAAAAAAAAAGCTTCCGCCGATCAGACAAGTCAGCTGGGATTGTCAGAGGCTTTAAAAAAAGAGCCCTGGTAGCGCAGCAGACTAAAGCACTGTTATTAACATCAGCTGCCTGCAATTACTGCAAGTTCAAATCTCACCAGGCTCAAGGTTGACTCAGCCTTCCATCCTTTCTAAGGTAGGTAAAATGAGGACCCAGATTGTGGGGGCAATAAGCTGACTTTGTATAAAATATACAAAAGTATGAAGGCTATTGCTTAACGCACTGTAAGCCGCCCTGAGTCTCCGGAGAAGGGCGGCATATAAATCAAATTTAAAAAAAGAAAGAAAAGAAAAGAAAGAAAGCCTCTGCCGATCAGGCAAGTCAGCTGGGATCATCAGAGGCTTTTAAAAAAAAAAAAGCCTCTGCTGATCAGGCAAGTCAGCTGGGATCGTCAGAGGCTTTAAAAGCATTTTTTTACAACTTCTTCAGGCAAAGAGGTTGTAGAAAAAATGGTTTTAAAAGTAAAAAAAAAAAAGTTGGCCATGCCCACTCAGTCATATTACCCCCACACACACCAAGCCACGCCCATAGAACCGGTAGTAACAAATTTTACATTTCACCACTGATCCAACCCCTTTGCACTTACACCATACCAGCCATTCGTGCACCTCTGAGCATTGGACCTGCTCCACATCTCACACATCTTTCTCAAAAAGTCTGGTACTTCTTGCACAGTCCTGTGCACCCTGACCTGTGCAGCACCTCTTGCACGCTCTTCTTGACTTGTGAGAAAACCCTCTGGATCGTCCGCAACATCCTCCCCAATCCTTGTGGCATTCCTTGCATACCCCAAGTTGCACCCCTTCTCAACCAATGTGGTGCCTCTCGTGCATCTTTTGGGCACCTTGCGCACTTTTCCTGACCAACGTAGTGTCTCTCAGAGACACTCCCTATCCTGCATGACGCCTCTTGCACATCCCCTCTTAACCCTTGTGCACCTTTTCTGACTCTTCTCAACATATATAGCTCCTGTCAGCCCTTCCAGGTAAACCAAACAAGAAACATGACCAGGTGAGCTAATTCTGCTTTATTGTTAGGCTACATTAACAAAATCTTGCAAGTCTGAAAGTACAAATCTCCCACCTTCTCTTTTTACAGCCTGGTCAATCAGGATAGGTCCTTCTTAAATGTCTTTTACAGACAGTTAAGTTAGTGAAGTTCCTCCTCCTCTTGTCTGATCATTCCTTAGGGAGCATCTCTTTCTCTCGTCCCTCAAGATCATTCCCACATAGCATTACAGAACTTCTTGCAAACCCTGATGCACTGTCCTGACCCTCCCCTACAGCCTTCTGTTCCCCCCCAACCCATGCTCCACCCAGCAGCAGCCATTTGCTTGCCTGCAGGCATAGGATTTGCAACTTCCTGTGGGAAATTGCCTCACCTAACAATCATTGGATTCCGTTATCAACCACAATGGGATTGCAGGGATTGCTGTTGCTAAATAATGTGCTTGTACTTTATGACCACATCGCTTAGCGATGTTTCTGTCATAAATTGAGGGCTTATGAGGAAATATAGCTGTTTGTACTAAGCTCCATAAACATATTCAAGTTGTTTTCTGCCATTCGGTGGCAAACAGTTTTAATTACAATGTGTTGCTTGAAGAACAGCTTTTATATGTGAGATGAGATAGAGCTTCACTTGTATTATATTAGACGATTGTTGATAGCCAGTAGTTTTGCAGAGAAATCAAAGCAGATACTTTAACAGCAAGGTATCTGCTTCCTTACACAAGTGTAGCTGTTCTTATTTGCTTACTTGCTTACTTACTTGTGCCTGAAATTGTCTCTGTGAGTATCTCCATTATTATTTTCTTCTTCTTGCTTGCAATTCCAACATATGAGTCTTCAGTCCCTGATACAATTTAGACAAGTAATGTCTTCCTGAAGATAAGCAATGAAACACCATGAGAATTAATGTGTCCTGTAAAATTTGTTAGGCTTATTCCATCTCTCTCTCTCTCTCTCATTCTCTCTCTCTCACACACACATGCACACACACACCTTTTGATTAACAACAACAAGAACAACAACAAAAACAAAAGGCAAAGTTGAGAAGCTGGCATGCTGTGAAGGAAAACAACAGTTGTCAAGATTTATATATATATAAGAATTTATCTGGGCTTCTCACATATTGAAGAGATATTCTTAGATTTTTTTTTTTAAAAAGTAGTTGCTTTTATTTAATTTTGTTCTTCTGGGGAAGGGAAGGATAGGAGAGTTGGGATGAAAGGAATCTGAAAGGGGGATGGAGAACAACCTTAAATACTCTCCATGGGGCTCCAACATCACTATTTCAGGAGCTGAACTGGTGGCAAGTAGACTTTTGGGTTCTGTTCAAGGTCTTCATTTAGTACCTTTATAGCTTTGCATGATTCAAAAGATGGATATCTACAGGACTCCATTCTTCCTATAACAGCTGCCTGTGCACAATAAGGCCTAGTAGTGTAGGTTATCTTCGTATCCTTTTCACTCAGAGATTGATATCTTTAGGGACTTCAGAGTTGAGCCTCCTCAATTACTGTTTCTCATCCATGGAACAGGATTCTCCTAAACACCCAAAAGGCCCCCTCTCTCTTGGTTTTTAGGAAATTATTAAAACATGATTATTTTTTATCAGGGAACTAGAACAGCATGATATATTCCATATATAGATATTGGTTTTAGTGACTGTGAAATGGATTAGATCTCTCATACTCTATATTGCTAGTTTTATTGTTTAAGATTGTTGCTATGTTATTGTGATGTTATGTTTTAGGAAGACTGGGATATAGATGGATGGATGGATGGATGGATGGATGGATGGATGGATAGATAGATAGATGATAGGTAGGTAGGTAGGTAGGTAGATAGAAAGAATATAAAATCTAATACAAACTAATAGAAAGAATAGAAAAAAGAGTTAAAGATGTAAAGGAGAAGAAAACAAAATATAGAAAATAGGAACAAAAAAGGAAGTGAGTTAAGTGAGTTTTGCCCCATTTTATGATTTTTCTTGTACCAGTTGTTAAGTGAATCACTTCACTTGATAAATTAGTAACCTGGTTGTTAAATGAATCTGGCTTCCCCATTGACTTTGCTTATCAGAAGGTTGCAAAAGGACGCTGCAACCATCATAAATATGAACCAGAATTTTGATCACATGATCATGGGGATGATGCAAAGGTCATAACTGTGAAAAACGGCCATAAGTCACTTTTTTTCAGTGCCGTTGTAACTTTGCGTGGTCACTAAACTGCTGTAAGTCGAGGACTACCTGTATTCCAGCAACTAGGATGTGTAGTACCAGGGATGCAATCGTTATTCCACTTCTTTATCCTTTTTTCCTCTCTGCCCTTTTCCTGTAACCCCTGCTGTATCAGACTTCTATTTTTAAGCTTTAAAGCAGCATGCGCATCTCAACGCACAAGTATATCTTTACATTTTAGGCACTGGATCCTTCCAGCTATGTACTTTTCATGCAAGAATATTCTAAAAGGAATACTTTTATAATGCAAAGGCAGTACGATCTACTACTATTCCATTGTACCTTATTATTCATTATTTTGGTTAATAAAACACATGTAAGGTGGGATGCTGTTGAAAGGTCGATTGGAAAACAGCTTGATTGATCCATAAAAATATATATACCGGTATTTAATTTGTTGCACAACAGGCATAATAACCTATTGATTTTGCTCCTCTTCCAAACACCAAATCTTTCAATAGAGAAAATGAGATTTGGTTTTGTATTATTGAGCATAGTTGGTTTTATGAATATGCATGCATGTATAAAAAAAGACAGAAAGATCATATTACGGACATCTGTTGTTCACCCTCTTAACCCTTTCATTAAAATGTTCATGGGTGCAGTTACAAATTAATTTCAAGTAGTCCTGTAAGAGTATTTGTTAGCCAAGTGTCAGATTACTGTAAATATCACAACATTTCCTCCTCTAAAAGATTTCAGCTCATGCCTTTATGGGACGACAAGTGGAAATCTCAGTTTCTTTCGAAATAGAATCAGATTCCTGCCTCTTGTGTTGCTAGAGGAAAGCGGAGAAGGATGAGGCATAAATTAAATCTAGAAAATAATAGCTTGTGATGTTATTTTAAACGCTCATTGCTCTGGTTCAGGGTTGACTGCAAAAATAATAATAATAATAATAATAATAATAATAATAATAATAATAATAATAATAATAATAACAACCAATGCAAAACTTGGTCTAATGTGATCAGCTGTATTTATGATAAGCCATCTTGCAAGTTTTGTAAATTTTTAATCTCTAGAAGCATCACTGTGAGACAGTACCTTGCAGCTATGATCACCTTTGGGACATCTCTTGGTTACACATTCTTTTTTTAAAAAGCAGAATTTCTTTTTTAAAAAAGTGATGCATATTGCAGGGCTGTTAATACTATTATACAGGAGTTCTGTCATTAGGCTCTTCTATTCTCTGCATATAGCAACCCGACCACTGCAGGGCTGTTGTAAATCTCATGATTTTAATTCTCAGCCTGTGAAATACCCTGACACCTACATTTGTCTGAGGATTAGCCAGACCATGACTATTAGTGGTGCGGGATGGGGAGGGAGGCTGGGAAGTACAGGCATATTGATGCAGTGAAAAGCTGTAGATCATGATCAGTTTTTTTATATTGCTAACGATACTTTAAATGTGATAGGAAAATGAAAAATACAGATTAACATATATGCTTAACATCCTGAAATTCACCCAACAGTTTCTATGGAAACTAGAATCTTTATATAGTTCTGAGGTTTTACTAACAAGCTGAAATAGTGTCAACTGTGGTGAACATTCATTTTTAAATGTGTGGTACATTTTTATTATTTCTGCTCAGGGGTCATACATTTTTCAACAGGATGGGCTAATAACGTCACTAGTCATGGATTTCTGAAGCATATTCAAAAAGCAGCTTTTGATATTAAAAAACCCCACACTTATTTTTAATAAATGTTTTGAAAAAGGCGAAGTAACAAAAAAAGTGGGGGAGGAGTATGGGGTAGATTCAGAATTTAGTTTGGGGAGCCATGTGCCAGATCCATCAATCCAAAGGACATCAAAGAGAAGACAATTGACAACTTCATATCTGCATACATGGACCAAGTGATTGCTCAGTTTAAAAAGAACCCCCAAATATTCATTTAAAAATTATTCAAGAGCTTGTATTTATTTTTTTAAAAAAGGCTTGCGCAGCACTCCTCCTTCCTTGATGTGTCTTACATAAACAGAGATAGCAAAAAATAGGCACAGAATAACAAAATAAATTTAAGTAGTTTAAAAGCAACAATAAAACCTCATAATTAACAGTAGTTGTGTTAATGGTTTTGCTTAATCAGTGAGACATCCCTTATTTCAGGTGTATTATCCAAACTAGGTAACTGGTATCCCTTCAGATATGTACTAAATCTCCCAGCAGTATAGTGACTAGCGGTGAAGGTATTAAAAGTTGTAATTCATCAATATCTCTCATAAGCTGCCTATTCCTAAGGTGACCCAACTTTTTTACAATGAGAAGGAGGACACAAATAAATTGAAGGAAAAAAATATTCTAAATAAAAACTTGTAAATAAAATTATACATATTTGGAAATTATTAAATAGATAATGAATTAATAAAACGTGAATTATTGTGCTCACCTGTGTATGATTGAATATTCACTGAGAAAGAAGTGAGTCTAATGCGTGCGTGTGTGCCATGTCGTGTTTCGGTAAGAAGTAAACAAAACCACTTGTGCGTGGCGCACTCTTGAGCATGGCACACTCTCTCAAAACAATTCTCCTGTGCGGAGCGCATGTGTCTCATAATCGCGTCTCGCCACAATGTACCGAGCCTTGACGAATCGTCATGTCAAATACAAATATGTCACATCACATGCAACGGATCAGATCGGCATCAATCGAATACGGAGATTTACAGATTAGTCTTCAAATATCGAAAAGGAGGACATGTAGGAGGACACTTTTCAAGAGAGGACAGAACGTACAAAAGGACTGTCCTCCCTAAAGGAGGACGTTTGGTCACCTTACTATTCCAGATCTGGGTCAATCCCTCTCATATTGTTTTTCATATTCCATGCCCCCCAACAAATAGTTCCTCTTCATTCCACAGTCACTAAGCTTACCCAATTTTTAATGGAAAGTAATTAAGAAGGAGACTTTGAAGGCCTGAATAGGGGAGATCAAGTTACAACTCAACCCTAGCAAGATTGGCCTGTGCCTCACTCCTGGATCTAGCGATTCTTCATTTTTCAGGTCCTCAGACAGAGTTGGTGGACAATCTTGCAAGAGCAGGTGATGACACCTGTGGCTGGGTGTCCTTAGCTCATTGTGATGGAATGTGTGATGGAGGAGCAGTGGGGGAGTCTTGGTAACACATACTTTTCTCAGAGAGAAGCCCAGATTAAGAGATGGCAAAATCCTGAGCTGGATGTGGGATGGTGGTGGAAGAGATTCAGGGCAACCACACTCTAGAACAGGGGTGTCAAACTGGATTTCTTCAAGGACCGAATCAGCATTGTAGTTGCCCTCCATGGGCCGGCCGGGGGGAGGAGACAGGACAGATGGCAGATGGGACGGATGCGTCCTGCAGCACTCTGTTGGCCAAAATGGGGCACAGGGGAGGGGTGCAGCCCGTTTTCGCTGGCAGAGTGCTGCAGGAGGCCATCCAGGCCAAAAATTGGGTGCTGGGGGGGGGGGCGCATGCAGGCCTCCACACCCCGTTTTGGCCAGCACAGGCATCGTGGATCAGTCCTTTGCTATTTCCAGGCTGGCCCTGTGGGCCAGATCTAAGAACCCCGTGGCCAGATCTGGCTCGCGGGCCTTGAATTTGATACCCGTGTTCTAGAATCTCTCAGGTAATAGCTAATAGGTTAGAAAGTTATAGCTTTAGTTTCAAGATTTTGTCCATTAGGTATAAACAAGTAAAGGAGTCAACTTGATGGGATCTCTCTATCTCAACTTTGTGCTTGGGCCTAACCCTCTTCTCATGTTCCAGTTGCACCTGTTCCTGGAGAAGGAAGCTCTGCTCCTTATCACTCATGCCTTAGTCACTTCCCAGTTAGATTACTGCAGTGGATTGTGCATGGGGCTGCCTTTGAAGAACACTTAGAATCTTCAACTGGTTCAGAATGTAGCAGGGCACATAATTTTGCACACTCCAGAGTTTGCTTCTACGATACTCTGCTCATGAGCTGCATTGGCGTTCAGTACACTTCTGGGTGCCATTCATCTTTATAATTATTAAAACTCTGCAAGGTATTGGGCCAGATTAATTGTGGGATGGTCTGTTGCCAAGGATTTCTGCCTATTCCATCTGGTCAGACAACATACAGTACATGCTACAGGTTCCCGCTATTCAACAGTAGCAACTTGAAGGACTGATGCTTTTTCTGTCATTGAGTTTATCCTGTGTAACTATCTTTTCCACAGATTGGGAGCATTCTGGCCCTCTTAGTCTTTGGCAAAATTGATGTCAACCCTACTATGTAGACCAGGCCAAGAAATCAACTTCACAAGAAAGCTAAAACTAATTTTTATTAATATTAGCTGTAGTAACAGAACCTTGCAAACTTAACTGTGCTTTACTATATTTCTTCCATCTCAATACTCCTGTGAATTAGGAAGGTGTCTGCTGAGTCACGTATGCGTATCTTATTTAAGACATATGCCATTTTCTTCCCTTGTTGCTTGGGTCACCATTTCTATCAAGGTCAGCTTTCTTACTCTCTGCAGTTGCCTTTTCCCCCAGGCATTAGGACCTAATGCTAGGGAAGCCCAATAGAAAGGCTTTGCAAGTTTGTTATATAGTGAATCATTATTTTTCCTTGTTTGGATGATTTTAGTTTTTGGTTATTTTAACTATGGTTTTTACATATTGGTTGTTTGGTGTGTAGAATTATGTATTCAAGATGCACTGCCATAATATATATTTTCTAAATAAATAAGTGCCCCTGTTAGGCCCACCCCACCCTTTGTCACTGTACAAACCTTGAGGCTTTAATGAATCGGTTTATATCAGCCTCTTAGGTGCTTATGACCAGATCACTAGAGATATTTTTGTTCAAACAAACAGGTATAAAATATTAACAAGGTAAGCATCCATATACCATCATCTTTCTCAAAAATACCTTCTTGAATTCTTTATTCCAAGCCCTTGACCAATCCTATAGTCCATATCATCTATTAAATCTTGGTGCCAGACTAGATGAGACCAGACAAGCTTCAAGGTATGTTTTCTTTCAAGTAACAGCAACAAGCAGAGTCTGTAACTTTGTCAAGTCTTGCTCAATCAATCAGTTTATTAAAGCCCTAATGCCAAATACAATACAATAAAATATTTGATAGTAAAATTATTATATACATACGAGGGTGGGTTCTACTTACCTTTATTACTTTACTACTTTACTACTTACCTTTACTACTCGCTTCGCTCACGCATACGCCTTGTTTCTGCGCAGATAGCTTCTGATGACATCAGGGTCAGTGGGCGGAGCCTCCCAATGGTTTTACTACCGGTTCTATAGAACCAGACAGAACCGGTCAGAACCGGGGGCAGCCCATCCCTAATACATACATACATACATACATACATACATACATACATACATACATACATACATACATGCAGAGACAAGACATATACATCAGAAAATAAATATAATAGGATCTAAAAAAATTAAGAGTAGATTTAATAATGAGGGAGCCGTAAAGAAATTGAGAGGTTACCTGAGCTTGCAAAAACTTACAAGCCACAGGGATATAATGGGATCCCTTTGAGCGGTGAAATCTTATAGTGGCTATAAGTGGTACTCTGTGTGACATTTGCCAATTTAAAAAAAAAAAAAAAAGAGCATTCTGGGACAAAAAGACCTGAAACTGCATTCCAAGATATTTATAAGTGTGTACCTCCTCAGTATGCTCCTCTCATTTATTTGCCATTTGGGAAACACTAAAACTTTGATTTTCTTATAGTTGTGGTGTTCTCATTCCCACCGGTGAAGTAGACATAGTCACTGTCATCTCTAGACAAGAAAAGATAAATAAATTAGATAAATAAATAAACTACAATGTTGGCATACAGTAATGCTGGGGAATCAGCTAAAATAGGTGGGTGATGGGCTGAAACAGCAAGTCCTTGGATTATTGGATTTAAATATAGATTAACGAGTAGTGGATCTAATATGCAACCTTGTCTTAACACTAGTATGACTTGGGACTGTTATAGATAAATGCGACCAGTAAGTTTTTCTTAAGGTTTTCCAGCTTAGGTATTCTATTTTCTTGTTCATTTCTGGGAAGGAAACCAAAGGTACTGATAAGGTAAGCTTCATCTATATCTGACACATCTTTATTTAGTGAGCGTGACTGATTCCCATTACCTTGCTTTTCTAAGGCTGGATGTGGGGGGAGAGGAAGACTTGCTGACATCTGATAAAAATTTTAGAATAACTACAGAGTCTCTAAGTAAGACAGAGATGAATTAGCTTTTACTTCGCAAAAGACTTTGAAGCAATGCTAAGTATGGTCCCATCTTCAATAGCATTACAGAGATACTAGCCTGATTAAAAGACAATAAATCCATTTTTGGTTTGGAGCACTTTGAAACTATTCAACAGCATATAAATCTCTGTCTGTATTGACAGTGAAGAAGTTCTAGGGAGATTACAATTACTCTCCTAAAATCTCAATATTGAGACTGTTCAGGAGCTACAGAGAGCAATCTGTTGTTTGTTTTAAGTGAACGGTGGTTTGGCTAGAACTGAAGACCACATGGAAAAATGGGGGTTTCTCCCAGAAGACAACAATGTTTATTGAGAATGTGGCACTGTTTAAACTATCCATCTTTTACAGTGTCCCCTGAGCGGACATGCACACAAAATGACTTGAAGGTTGGAAATATCCCTGCCATCAACGTGGTCCAGCATTGGGCTAGCTAGAACTACATATATTTTATTAATAAATAAATATTTAATTTATATTTAATAAATTTATTAAAGTTTTTAAGCTTTTCAAATTTAAATTAATAATTTCCCCCCTTTCTGGTTCTTGCGTTTGTGACACGAGATGAGACTTGCAGATAATGTCCTCTTTTGTATCCAAACCAGAGTCCTTCGTGCACTTTGAACTTGGTTGTTTGTCTGCAGACATGTTGTTACCTGACTAGGTAATTGTTATATACCATATAAGACAATAAGGAAGTGAGCTGCAGGCTTCACTCAGGTCCTCCAAATAGGTGGGAAAATACTTGAATCTCATTGGCTAAGACGTCTGGCAGCCCTCTATAAAAGAGGACGCTGCCAGACTAGCAGGTTGTTGGGTTGTACTGGTCTACTATTAAAGAGCTGTGGTTACTGAAGAACTGTGTCCGTCTCTTCTATCACCGAATCAAGCAGTAACATCTTCAGTGCTATAAGGGAACAGAGTTGGCTGTCTGTCTGGATGTTACCTAGTTGGGTAATGAACAGGGCTGTGGAGTCGGGAGATAAATGTTTCGACTCCGACTCCTCAGTTTTTTGTGCTTCTGACTCCGACTCCGACTCCAGGTACCCAAAATTTCCTCCGACTCCGACTCCTCGACTCCGACTCCGACTCCACAGCACTGTCAGGGCTATGGAGTCGGGAGATAAATGTTCCGACTCCGACTCCTCAGTTTTTTGTGCTTCTGACTCTGACTCCGACTCCAGGTACCCAAAATTTCCTCCGACTCCTCGACTCCGACTCCACAGCACTGGTAATGAAACATCTGCAAGCAGACAACCAAATTCAGAAATCATCAATAACTCCACAGTTCAACCCTGAGCAAGACAGATTCTCTTCTATTAGGCTTTAGTGTGTATGAAGCCACCACTATTTGCCTTGTCACAATGTAAGGATTTATTAATATAACGATTGGATTGTTGCACAGTTTTGTCAGTTTGTTTTACTTTAATCACTTGTCCTTTATCAGAGCTCATATCTGGAATGTGTGGCTTAGCTGGAGCTTCTGCATAAGCCTTAATGGATTAGCGGATCTGGTTTCGTATTTTTTAACAAAAGCC